TTGGAAGTTATTGTTTAATCATAGTCCATTTCAAATCAACTATTCAACCAATTCTTCAGGGTGCCTTTGATAAGACGATGATCCCTAATAACAATGATGGATCAGAGTTATTGGATACGCGTACCTTAAAATACAGTTCCTGGTAATCAGCTTAAATAATGATCCGCACAGTTGTTTCAAAGTAACAAGCTGAAGTCGAATAATTGCCAGTTATTGTTTCATATGTGGTTAATAGTTGATCCACTAAGTATGAATACAACAAATAAGATGATTAAAGCATATATATATTATTCTTCCTTGTGTTTGTCCTCTGGTCTAAATAGTAATTATTAATAATCACGTGATTATATTAGTATTACTATAATAGGAACTAAACCCCATAATTGTTATAGAAGACTGTTTAATAGCATATTAAATCAAGATATAATAATAGATTATTAAATTTTTTAATTTATATATTTTGAATATTAGAAAATATTAGTTTAAAATTTAAAAAATGAATTATATATATGTATAAAATATAATGGATGAAGATAAAGAAGATTATCAAACCATTCTAAATTATGAGATAAATAAATTAATTAATAAGGAATGGACTTTTTTAAATGAAAATTGGAATATTTTAGTAAATAAATATAATCATCGTACTGAATTAAAGGAAGTTAAAAATAATAATATTAAAATTGTTAAAGATGTTTTATTAAGTCAATTAGGTTACATACCTGTTTTTTATTTCTTAAATTTTATATATGGTGTTTCTGAATATCCTGGACCATACAAAGAAATAGATAAAGGATTATTAATTTTGTATCATATGGTAAGTGGAAAATCAGGTAGAGATATGCATGAGTTTATGTCTTATACAACATATTATTCACTTTATAAAAAATTTTGGCATTCAAATTTTAAAAGGTTAAGTAAAAAAGTTGATACAGATTTAGGCAAAATGTTTTCAAATATAAGAATTAGAATATTATCTTCATTAATAAATAACCCAACATCTTTTAAAAATGTAACATTATATATCGATGGTCACGATGGAAAAATAAAATATTATGATCCCGATACTAAAACAATGGATATAAAGTCTTATAAATTAGATGGTCCTGGTTTAAGGACACAAATTGTTACTGATAGTAATCAAATGATATTATATGTATCTAAAAGTGAAAAATGTGGAAAGGGTAGTGATGGAACAATGTTTTTGGATATGAAATTATATAATAAAATTCATATAGGAGACTGTATTGCTATGGATGGAGGTTATAACTTATACATAAATAAACTTAAAGAAGATAGTTTAAATTCAGGAAAAGAATTTTCTGACAAAAATTTTGTATATCCTATAAGAAAATAATAAAAACTTATCTGCTTCTGAATTACAATATAATAAAAGATTTGGAAGTTTTAGATCTGAAATTGAAGACCAGTTTTCGGTTTTAGCATCTAAATTTAATAGATTTAATAATAATACTTCTGCAATGCAAATTACAGACATAAAATATTATAATTTACAATTCAAAGTAGCATGCTTATTAAAGAACATGTGGAAAATGATAGATAAGTATAATATTGAAGCCCAACCTCATCATAGGTTATGGTATACAGATGGATTTGAATTTCCTAAAAATGACAGGAAAATAGATATTATGGTAACTGATAAGATACAAGTAGATAAAAATTTTAATGAAATGCTAATATTACAAAAAGAAATTTTAAAATTAAATATAAATGAAGAAATAAAGTTTATATCTGATAATGAAGAAGAAGATATAGAAATGGAAGAAGTTCAAATAAAACGTAAAAAACCCAAAACACCTGTTGTAGTTATTGAAAGCATTATCAAATAAATGTAAAATTATCTATAAATGCTTTTTTATTGTTAAATCTATTTTTATAGTCATCTTCTTTTACGTTTTTACATTTACATTTCGTCAGAGGTCGCTCACAAATTATGCAAAAATTCTCTAAATGGAATTTACAAACATTTTCTTTTATATATTTTCCTTTTAAATTAGATATACAACTTTTATTCTTATAATAAATTTTACATTTTTTTATTTCTTTTTTATTATTATAATTTTTTGGTATAAATTCTTTAATTTTTGTAATATCAAAATTTTTAAATGTATTAATTTTTCTTTCTATTTTTTCTATATTGCTATTGTTTATTACTTCTTTCTCATCTTCTTTTTTATATATTGATTTATCTAATTTATATTTTTTTGAATCTTCAATTATTTTATCATCACTTTTTATTGAAATACTTTTATTATCTACTTTATTCTCTATATTTCTATTACTAATTTTGTAATGAGTTTTACATAAATTATCTCTGTATAGTTTACCATAACATTTGCAATTTTTATTTTCACCCTTTTTAAACTCATAATTACATACAAATTCTAAGAAATTATCTGCATATTCAATGGGAATCATAATATATTTTCTGACCATACTATTTAATAACTATTTTATTATTATATGAAAATTCAATTTTATCTATTTTAATATTTTCAATAAAATGTTTTTATTCTATAAAAAATACCATTTTCATTTAATACATGAACAGTCTCCATACCAAAATCAGAATTAAAGAAAAGAGAAAAAAAGGGGAAAAAAGGGGATTTTACTTTATAAAAAGATATAAAGGATTTATTGATGTTTTAATGAATAATTCTCCTGAGAGAACCAAAAACAAAGCAGTATTTATACTGTTCAAAAAGATAATTTGAAGTCAGTCATTCATGACACAGTGTCACTAGTGACTGACTTTAGAAGTGGGTGGGTGACACCGCATCTTCATCGTCGTTATCGTCACAATAGTTTTGATATTTAAAGTTTTTTTTTTTTTTTGAAAACTGTGCTACAATACCAAAAGGGTATCAACATCATTTAAAGTTCATTTGGTTTAAGGTTCAAACGTTAAATGGAGAAACCTTAATCTCGCAGTCCAAAAAGAATCAGTTATGGTTATTAGTGCTACTGTAAATGTGGGTTCTGTTATGGCTTAAGGTTATGTTGTTTGATAAGTTTGTACTTGATAGT